AGATCAGGCAAGTGTGAAGAAAGGTGGCCCGAAGAGGGGGTTGGGAGCAACCGGGGCTAGTGGAAGGTGTCCCTGCCCCTGGCAGGGGTTTGGAACAAGATGATCTTAAGGTCATTTCCAACCCAAACCATTCTATAACTCTAAGATACAGGCATCCAACTGTGTCTAGACCTCCTGGGAACATTTAATTGGGTCAAAACACTCTAGCAGAGATTAAGCAAAGGTTGAGCACACAGCCTTCCTTGCGGGGCTAACCTTACCATGGCTCGTGGTTTGAAGAACATCATGTGCTCATGAGCTTTGAAAGCCTGAAGGATCTTTCCAGGGAACTCTGCCATGGTCAGGAAATGGGGGATCAGGAACTCTGTGCAGGTGCAGCTGCTGTAAATTGGATTTTCTCCTGCTTAGCTCAGCCTTTGAGATACACTAAGATCAATGCAGAGCAATTTGGCAACAATGTCTAAGTGTGTGTTGTTCCTGGGTGAGGTCTCCCTGATGTGACACCCGTGGGGACACACAGTGTAGTCAGGAGAGTTTAGGATCTTCCTCTCAAGTAAATGTGTGAGAAGCTGAGGGTGTTCCCCTTTCTGCTCACTGAACATGTAGGATGGCCCCATCCATCTGCAAAGCTTAGAGCTGGCTTACAAGGGGGACTTAGAAGACTGTAGATGGTGGAGGGCTAGGCTGGCCTCAAAGTTGGGCTTTAAGTGAGATGATTTGAGCCATGTTAATGACCTCTTGCAGCTACAGGAATTCAGATGGCAAAGAACTGGGAGCAGTTTTGGGAGAGGAGGATCTCGGGAGAATGTGGCAGCAGCTGACGGATGGCAGGCTGGTGCTGTGCTGCCAGGTACGTGGGCTGTGACCAGCTCTGCTGTGTTGGGCTCTCATCTCTGCTTTGCCTTGCAACCTCCCTGATGACTCTCCTGTAGGACTCAGAGTCGCACTCGGGCAGACCCATCCTCTACCAGATGCTGGCTCAGCACTCCTACCCTGCACAGGGACCAGGGGACCTGGACTTCAGCAAGGGAGATGTACTGGATGTTCTTTCTGAAGGTAGCTCCCGAGTCCTGTCTACAGGCTTTTACTGGGGCAGGCTTTGAGTCTGCTGCAGGGGGGGCTGGGGAGTAGATGCCTCTTCAGTGCTGCCTCAGGGCTCATCCTGCTCCTTTATGTTTTCCCAGTGAATGAGGACTGGCTGGAAGGACGCTGCAATGGCAAGACTGGCATCTTCCCTAAATGTTTTGCAACCCAGACCAGTTGTGGTGCTGCCTTCCTATAGCAAAGAGGAGCCTTTTCCCGCCTGACTGCATTGTCTCCCGGGGTGGGAGGCATCAGTCCCAGTTATTCAGGCCACAGCCAGCACAGCCAGGAGCTTTGCTGAACCTGGACAGGAGGTGTCACTCACTCACAGATCCCATGGGGTCAGCTCCAGCAGTCTAACGGTATCTTTTACAGCCTGTTTCCAGACCTGGCATTTTTACCTTTGTGCTTTCACTGCCAAAGATGTGCTTGTGCAGGGCAGAGAGAAGGGAGAGGGATCTGGTGTTTAGCTATGGGAAATGTCTGAGTGCCAGCTCAGACCTCCTGAGTGGGATGAGGTTCCTGTGGATGGAGGTCTTCACCCCCTCTCCCTGTTGCTCAAGTTCAGGCTGGAGGGCTGAGCCTTACTCTGATGAAGCCAAGACTGTGAGCAGGAGGCAGAGCCCTGGACCCCAGGCCCTTGGCTCACATGTCCTTATCTCCACCACACAGAGATGCTGCTCTTTCAGATGGCTTTTCTAACCAGTTTGCAGTGGGGTGAATGGGATAACACCTTGGGTTAGGACCACCATGTATCATCTTCCACAACAAATACCCTACACATCTGCCAGAGCCAAGGGGCTCTGACCATTCCTCAGCCCAAATGCTTTTGATTCTTTTCTCAAGCCCTTAAGACCTGCCTGGATGTTACTTCATGCTGCGTGGACAGGAGGGGCCTTGCAGTGTGAGGGAGAGGTACTTGTGGGAACACTCCTGCTCAGAGCAGCCCTTTGGTAGAGGCTTGGAGAGGCTGGGCTGGGGGCTGCTGGACTGGAGCTAGGGGAATGAGGTGACCATCTGGTTCCTGCCCCTGAGCTGTGCTGGGCTCTGCTGAGCTGGATAAACCTTCCGACTGCCTGGAGCTGAAACCCATTACGGATTTGGTGTCTGACAGAGCTGAGCTGTGTAACTGGAATATCAAATAAACCCTGAGCCACAGTAGGCAGCTCTTCAGTCAACCTCTACTTACATCTTTCTGCTGACATATGGCAGTAAAGAGTTTTAAAGACACCTGACTGTGTCTTTGGGAAAATATTGTCACATACTACAAGTCTTGCACAGAGAAAGATACAGGTAAGGTCACCCCTCTCCTCAGAGCTTAGGTGGCCACCACTGTTCTCCATGACCAGTTGCCTCCCATGGCTGTTGGAGAGCAGCCCAGCAGGAAACCTTCCGAGGCTGGTCGGGGACTTTCCTATTTGAAAAACAAAATGGATTTTATTTCTAGTGTGGATTGATCTGGCTTCATCCAGCCACCAAGTCTCTGTCAGCTTTTATCAGCCAGATTGAAGGAGTCTTTTCCTCTTGGAGGTACTCGGAGAGTTCCTTTGTCATCTTCAACATCTTCATAGAGATGACCCAATTAGACCTTCTGAGCAATGGAGATGGGTCTAATGCCCTCTTTCTTCTCCCCCTTCCACCTTCTTTTGCAGCACTGCCCTGCCTGCTTTAGTGGGCAGGATCCCTCTAGTCAGGAGGCTGGGAGCTACTTGGTTTTGCAGAAGCACTGGAGGAACCCAGCCACCAGGCCTGCCACAATGGCCAGCACAATGCAGGAGACAGCACCTGCCCACAGGCTGGGCTGGTGCCCTTTGACGTGACCCAGAGCCTCCATGGGGATCATGTTGGTGAGGTTCAGCATGAAGCCCAGTGTCCATCCGATGTCTGTGTTTGCTGCCTGAGGTGAAGGAGCAGAGATCATCCAAAAGTGCCTCTCCCAGCCACCGGTGGCTTTGGTCCAACAGACTCTCCCATGAGCTGCCCCAGCTGTGATTTCACACATGGACCTGGCTGTGGTGAACCTGATCTTACCAGCCCTGGATACACAAAAGCTTTCCTGTCCCCCCTTCCCAAGGGCTGAAGGGCAGCTTAATGTGGATGAACAAGGCCAGGGTGGACACAGGGGCTTGGAGCAAACTGCTCTAGTGGAAGGTGTCCCTGCCCGTGGCAGGGAGTTGGAACTGGATGAGGTTTAAGGGCCCTTCCAACACAAACCAGTCTGGGATTCTATGATAATGACTGCTCTGGTCAAGATTTGCCTCTGTGACCATGACTTTGGGTCTGAGCTTTCCTCTTCCCCCGTGATCCATCAAATTTGGTCCTATTCTAGACCCTATTCAAATGGGTCCTGAGGCCACCATCAGCTCTGATGCTCAAGTCAGTTCTGCTCCACATCAGACACCAAAGTGGCCAAATCCTCCTGTACACTTCTCTGACCACCTTAAAACTAGCTTATGTTCACACCAGAGTGAGTGAGAACAAGCCAGTGTCAGGGGGTTGGGGAAGGGAAGGAAGAGTGAAGCTGGGCTGGGGTCACTGGGAAGCAGCATGGAATGGGGACACATTTCTGGTGCAGGGGACTCCAGGGATGCTGCTCCCAGATGTGTGTTGGGGCCAGGGCAAGGAGGCAGGGCCTGAGGGGTTCTTACCTGCTGCCTGAAGTGGATGCTGCTCCACGTGTGCTCGCTGAACTTGTAGCCATCAAGCAGCAGCGTCAAGATGTAAATGGCCATGGAGCAGTAGTTGTGTAGATATCGCTTCTGCTGCGGGAAGGTCTCCACCAGCTGTGGGGCCATCAGGGGACACAGTGCAACAGGGAGTGAAGCAGATGTTCAGGAACCCTGCCTACCCCGGGGGACAGCAGGACATTGCCTTCCTGGGCTGAGAGTTGGGACAGGACAAGCACAGGGCTCCTTGCTGCCCCTCCCAGGGCTCTCACCTCTGCCCAGTCCTTCTTGCAGAAGGCCTGGACTGTGGAGTTGACATCCTTTAGAGACTGCTGGCTGGTCAGGTTCAGGAAGTGGAAGGTGTAGTAGAACCCAGCAAAGGCCTGGGGGATACCCGGGGATGGTAAGAACTACATTTCCTTCACACTCCAAGAAAAGACCCAGGGCCCCCTCTTGTTTGGGGATTCTGCATCCAGCACCCACTTAATGGTCTACCAGAAATCTTGGAGCTGGTTGACAAGCCCTGGGGCTGCTGCTTGCACTCACAGCCAGCTCAGAATCACTCCCTGGGATTCCCTCGGGGAGGGCTGGGACATCACACGAGGCAGAAGCCACCTCCCAGCATAGAAGAGGTTGCAGATGGGACCAACCCTGGGGTGGCCTCTCTCCCCACCCCTTCCCACAACCAGTGGCAGAGGAGAATCCCCACCTCCCCTATTC